CCAAGACTCCCAGGTCCTCACTCAGTCATCCCCCAAACCTGATTCAATCTCACACCCTTCCTCATGCCCTAACCCTCCTAAACTCAAGGGTCATCATCAGTAAAAGCCCCATATCTTCAACTTTTTCTCTGAACATTCCCTTCACCAAAACCTGATATCTCCTTAAGGGCACTGACTCTCCCACTGCCCTCTCAAATGAGAGCTGTTTTCTTTTCCAGACCCTGTAACCAAAGAATGTAGAGGTAGCGTGAGCTTCTTCCCAGTTTCTCATTTTGACTGCCAGGCTATGCCTCTCTCCTCCCTAAAACTCTCCAAGTCTTTTGAAGTTCATGCGGGCAGAGTATTCCAAACGACAGCCTATCTTTCACAGTCATCACAATCACGATCACAATTGCTTGAAGATTTTAGCACTGGACCCTCTGCCTGTCTTTTCAACACTCTTCCTGTTGTGATTCTTGGTGATATCAATATCCAAGTAGACAACCCTTCCAATACTCAGTCCCCTGACCTTTCCTCCAATGATCTTGTTTTCCACACAACTGCCACTCCCATTGCCATATCCTAGACCTATAATTTCTAACTTTATTGTTTATATATTCATAAAAGAATTTTGAAAAACTACATACTGTCTTGAACGGTTTTTTTTCCTTTTAGAAGTGCAATGCAAAGCAATTTTGATGCTCTCTCTTAACAAAGGCTTAAACGTGTCCCCTCTACTTCAATCACTTGCTCAACTAGCCACACTGTTGATGTCATTTAATTCTTTTTTCTCTATTGCGCCAAAATACACAAGGAGGCAGAAGGGAGTCTAAGCCTTGACTGGTACCTTTTCACCTAAACTTACTTGGCTCCATCTTGGAGAAAAAACCAAGTGGAATCTATACTTCAGATTCAATTTTATTTTAGTACAACCTTTGGGTAAAGCCGCTAGTGACAGCAAGCTCATAAAGCAGAAACCACAAGAGACTTTACACGACTTATAGACAAAACTGGATAGTCCAAAGCATGAAGATAACTACAATCCCAGCTTCTGTCCAGAGTGCCAGAATCAGTCTAATTAAATGGCTTGGAAATTTTGGAGAACAGCTCTGACTTCAGCTAATGCCTAGCACATTTTAAGTTGATATTTAATATGTTTCTAGGTATATGTAAGTTTAATTTTGTTAATAAAAAATAGAAAATGTTGGGGCTGGCCCAGTGGTGTAGTGGTTAAGTTCGCATGCTCTGCTTCCAAGGCCCAGGGTTCACAGGTTCAGATCCCGGGCGCAGACCTACGCACTGCTTATTAAGTCATGCTGTGGCAGGCGTCCCACATATAAAGTAGAGGAAGATGGGCACGGGCATTAGCCCAGGGCCGATCTTCCTCAGCAAAAAAGAAAGAAAGAAAAGAAAGAAAATGTTAAACATTATATAAGATGAAGACTACAAGCGGAAAAAATATCATTATAAGATTTGATATAACTAAGTTGAACTACTTGACTGAATGAATCTTGTAAATTTTATCCAATACCTCTTGAAATATTTAATAGTCCTGTAAAATATCCAAGTTGCTTTTAAAAGAGTCAAGGTTACTAATTTACACGGTATCTTTTGTTTGGAATTTAGAATATTTCAATATAGGCCAAAATCTCCTGCTTCTAACTCTGAATTTCACCCTTAACAAAAATATGTATAAAATGAAGAAAGATTGATTTGAGGTGTCTTGATTAATCACTATAGGGAATATCCTCAAAACTAGAATTCAGTTTATCCCTTTGTTTGGCACCCAGAATTTTATCCCTGGGTAATGGATCATAGTAAGGTTTTGTTTGGGTGGAAGGTAAGTGTTTCTTTTGTAAAATGGACTGTTCTCAGGTAGATCAATTTTGGGAAAGGGTACCCGCAGAAGTTGAGGAGCTGGAAATTGATTCCCTTAAGTATATCTGTGCAAGGCAAAACTAACCTTTACGGTCAGAAGCCAGGATAGAGTCACCCTTGGTGTGTGGGGGGTGGGATGGGGCAGGGGATATTACCAAAGTCTTATTGCTTTTATTCCTCAATCATCTCTTGAACCTGTTTATTTCTCTGAATGTCCATGGTTACTACCCTGGACACCTACTTTTAATGCTTGATGACTGTACTTAGCTATGAATTGCTCTCCCCACATTCACTGTTTTTATTCCTCTAACCACCTTCTTCATTTCCCCTAGTTAATGCCTATATTTCCTATAGGAGCTCAATTATCACAACATGAGGAAGCATCCCTGACCTACTATGTTAAAAACTCCTATTGTATACTCTCATAAGACTATGTATCTCTCCTTAATAAAGCTGTAATTTTACAGTTATCTGTGTGACTGATGTTTCCCCATAGAGAGGAAAATTTACGAAGGCAGAGAATGTATCACTCTTTACTCACAATTAATTCCTGGTGACTAGCAAAATCCTATTACGTAGTTAACACTTGGAGGAAATACTTATTGAACAAATGAATCAATGGTTTTTAAAACTGAAGAGGAACCCGTTTATAAATTGAAATCCTATGTGAAAACCTGATACGTAAAGCAGAGAAACAGGTAAAAGCAGAACTGCTCTGATTTGGAGAAGGGAGATGGATGTAGGGGATCCAGAGCCCTGCCTGTTTTAACCTCCCACTCATTCTCTTACCTCACAGACTCTGACACACTACCAGAGAAACTCAGAGCTCCACGAAACATAATTTGAAAATAATTAGCCTACATCAAGCAGTTCTCAAACTTTTTGTTCTCAGGATTCCTCTACACATTTAAATTTGAAGACTACAAAAAGTTTTTTCATGTTGATTATATCTATTGATATTTACCCTATTAGAAATGAAAATTGATAAATTACAAAAAATACATGAATTCCTTAAACTTGACTATAATAAATCCATTACATATTAACATAAATAGCATATTTTTATGAAAAATTACATTTCCAAATAAAAAATTAGTAACAAAGTTGGTATTGCTTTACATTTTTGTAAATCTATAGTATCTGCATTCAATCTGTTACGATGTCCCATGTCATACAGCTTCTGGAAAATTCCACCGTATGCTTGTGAGAGAATAAGAGTGAAAAAAGCAAGTAACATATTGGTATTATCGTGAAAATGTATTGACCTCCTGGATCCCCTGAAAGGGTCTCAGAGACTGTTGGCACATTTTTTTTTTTGGTGAGGAGGATTGGCTCTGAGCTAACATCTGTTGCCAAGCTTCCTCTTTTTGCTGAGGAAGATTAGCCCGGAGCTAACATCTGTGCCTATCTTCCTCTATTTTGTACGTGGGATGCGGCCACAGCATGGCTTGACAAGCCGTGCGTATGTCTGCACCTGGGATCTGAACCTGCGAACCTCGGGCCACCAAAGCAGAGCCCACGAACTTAACCACTACTCCACCAGGCTGGCCCCTGTCAGCACATCTTGAGAACTGCTGCGCTGGATCTAAAGGTCCATTCTAGCTAGTATTGATATTCTGATTTAATTTCTGACATCCTATTGACTGTTTTGAAGATTATCATCAAAATACTAACAAAGAATGTGAAGTGAATAGTAGGGAGAAAAATGTTGAATTGAAAATATAGAGAAGAATAATAGAAAAGTCGTTTTTATTAGAAAGGCAATTGTAATGGGTAACTTAAGTCTATGTATACGCCAAGTTCAAAAAGATACCTCTATTAAAATATTTGTCACATGTTGCAATTACCTGTTCATTTCTCTCTCTTCCCAGCCTGTGAGCTTTGGAAGAAGGAATTGGGTCTTGATCCATTTTGCGTCTTTGGTCTTTAGCATGTCTAACACACAACAGACAATAGATATTTGGTGGATGAATGAATTTAACTGCATAGACTGTACACCACCTACATATCCTACACATTTTCTAGAATCCACAGCAAACTCTGTTTAATCAACATCTAACGGTTTTCTTAAAGTTGTCATCATGATCCTGTCAGGAAAACCATCTTACATATGGTATTTTAGTATGCTTTTATAAACTCCTAATCAGTTTCCTAACGTCCTTTCAAGACATATTTAAAAATGGTCTTTGACGTCAAGTACACATTGTCACTTTATGTAATTCTTAATGAGGCAAACAAAAAGTCATGACTGCTTTTTTCTTCTTAGATCTTAGTTTAAGATGACCTTGCAGAAGGGTGAGGAGCAGAACTGCCCTCCATATTAAAAGTGGGCAGGCTCCATACGTTAATTTTACTCTTCCTCATATGTTGCATACTCTCTGCCTATATATCATGCACAGACACCCCAGATCCCGAATTTGGCAGGAGGAGTATCTCTGGAAAACAACCGTGGAGGGCGTGGATGTCCCGTTTCTCCTCCAGAGATCAGGGAAGGGCACTAACTGGTCCAGGCAAGACACGACTCAGCATCCTCCAGACGTGAGGTGTCTCCTTCCCAGAAGCAGCGGGTCGGACGAGATCTGACTAAGCTTTGGGCCGCAGGCCCGGAGGGTGCGGTGGACCCAGGGGCCTGAAGGGCGTGGGAGGGGATTACACCGCAGGCCGGGTCTGACCGCAGGGTCTAGAGAGCCAAAGACAAGGCCAGCCCTCCAGGCCGCTGGGGAGACCGGAAAGGGGGCCGGGACCTTCCGGTCCCCTCGGGCCGCAGCCTGGCCAGTACCCCCCCAGCCCCAGTGCGGCTGACCTGGCGTGCACGTGGCACCACTTCAGCGCCGACCGTCAGCCAGGACGGGGACAGACGGAGTGAAGCGGCGGCCCGACGACCAGACCCGAGCCTCCGATTGCCCACAAACGCAAACCGAGTCTTGATGCGCCTGGGACCCCAACCCCCCCCCCTCAAAAGCCGACCAGTGGCGCACGCAGCTCCGCCCAGCGCCGCTCGCGGCAGGGGCGGGGCCGCTGAGCTGGCCCGAGCGGATTCGCCCAGGCTCGGCCAGGGGGCGGGGCATGCCCCCTCCCAGCCACGACTAGCCACGCCCCGTCTGCCGGCCCCTGAGCCCTGCAGGAAATAGGGGTGGGCCCGGGGCCTAGCGTGGCGGAGGAGGAGCGGGGATGCAGCGGGAGCCAGAGTCCGGGAGGGCCTGGCTGCGGGGGAATGAAGCCTCCGCCTTCTCGGGCAGAAGCCTTTAAATACGGGCTCGGCCCCGGGACTCGGGGTGCGGCGCTTGGCAGCCTGAGGGAGGGGCGTGCGGTGAGGGGAGATAGGGCGGAGCAGGGCGCGAGTGCAGAAGCTGCGGTAGCCCGGCCCAGGGCGAGGAGCTGTCCGAGCCGTCGGGATAGGAGCGGACGCTGCGCTCGGTGCTTGGAAGTGGGTAAGCGCCTCTCCCGGGCTGGCCCCGCCGCCGGGTCAGGATGCTCCCGGCTCCCGGCGCAGTGTGGAGGGAGCGGGGTGGGGGGGTGCACGCTGCGCCTCGTCGCTCCCTGCGCTCGGTCCCGGGCTTCTCGTCTGACGACCCGCGTCTCTTCTTTTGGGCTCTGGGCGGGAATCGCCTTTGGGATCTGCTGCCCTGGGAACGGGCTAGCTTGGGCTTGTTATTCAGGACTCGCGAATCTCCCAGCTGCTTCTGTCCCGCCCCCCCCCCCCCCACACTTTTTGACTTGGAACAAATGAGGTTTCCCTGGCGCCTCAGAAAGCCGAACATCCACCGAAGGAAGCGGTCCTCTGGTTAGGGACCCAGTTTTGGTCTCAGTCGTAGTCTTGTTTGTGTTTAGAGTCTGCTCACCAGCGGGGGCTTCTGCTTTCCTCGCTGGCCGCCCTTCTTAGGAAGCCAGACAGCCCTTTTGAGGCGAAATCCTAAGATATTCCATCCTGACATCTGTATGGGCTGCCCTGGAATCCATTGTTGGCCGCCACACCATATAATTGCTTTATTTCATGTCAGGGAAGGCCTTACTTGGGTGCTTCAGGAGATCATGTTTGTGTGAGACCTTGAAAAATTATACTCCTTGTATATAGGGAAGATAACTGAGTCGAGTTGAGAGTTCTGGTATATAGAAAAGAGGGATTCACCGGTAGGGAGCTTTTCACAGATGGAGGAGTAGCTGTCCATTGACTGCCTTCAAAGACAGTGAGTCTTTGAGTTTCTTCAAATCCCTTAAGAAATGGAGAACAGTGGTCTGGTTTGTTTCTTCAGGAGGGTTCTGGAAATGAAAGAGCTTACTGTGTGCTCTGAGATGTGATGTTAGTTAAGGCAAGTGGTAGACAACTCTGATTGAAACGATCTCGGGCGCGGAGTGGCTTAGTGGTTAAGTGCGCACTCTGCTACTGGCGGACCAGTTTGGACCCCGGGCACGCACCTATGCACCGCTTCTCTGGCCATGCTGAGGTTCACGTCCCACATACAGCAACTAGAAGGATGTGCAACTATGACATACAACTATCCACTGGGGCTTTGGGGGAAAAAAAAAAAAAAGGAGGAGGATTGGCAATAGATGTTAGCTCAGAGCCAGTATTCCTCAGCAAAAAGAGGAGGATTAGCACGGATATTAGCTCAGGGCTGTTCTTCCTCTCACACACACACACACACAAATTTGTGTTTAAAAAAAAATCTCATTTCTTCTCCCATTGCTGTACTCCTTTCTCGAACATAAAATTTATACCTAATAAGCATACTCCATCTTCCCTCTTGCTTTTTTCACAGCTTTATGTGATACTTTTTAGATATAACATTAACACTGTCTTACTCACTGATTAAATGGTTTTCCTGGGTCAGGCAAATGTTAGTATTTAATTTTTGGAAATGACTCAGATGATGTGCAAAGTTGATGTATCCAGCTATAACGTCCATTGCTTTAGCTACTGGGTAATTATGTAAAGTATGCTGAAGAGGGGTGGGAGTGGAGGGATTATATTCAGATTAGATTGTAGTAGGACCTTCACTATTTGTTAGCACATCTTCTAAGTTGAAAGACTGATCTGAATTTATAAAATTTTAGATGAAGAGTGGTTTTGGAACAGCCTGGTTTGTTGTGACTGTCCCAAAATACGGAGGTAAAAACTTGTTACAAACTGACTCATTCAGTAAGCAAACATTCCCATTTCCCTGACAGCACAGTAGAGGGTTAGAAGGTACATAAAAATAGAAATAGAAAGTGGAATCAGAAGACATCTGTGTCTGGCAGGGTATATCACTAACACTGTATCAAGCTCTGTATTAAAACTTTATTGAAGATTTTATTGAAACTCTCAAGTGATGATTTATTTGGACTTGCACAGATTGTACATCCATCTTCAGTAAATTTTTCATTGTCACCTACAAGCCATACTTCATATGAAATAGCAATGCAGGGATACCCCAAAAACACATGCAGTTATAGGTCCACCTGCCGTCAATAGTTTACCCCAGCTGCTGTATGTAAGGCAAGCTGAATACAGCTGGAAATCAAGGTGGTAAGAAGTAACTCTGGGAAGACATGCTGTAGTTCTACCTAATGAAGAGAGAATCTTAGGATTCTGGCCAATCTCTGCAAAAATACTAAGATCAGCCATCTGAGCTAAAGATATTCAGATAACAGTCTTCATCTGAAAAAGATGGACCCTTATGGAGAGTTACTCATTTATTCAATTAATATTTATTGAGAGCCTACTTGTTCTAGGTGCTGAGGTGAACAGCAGCAGATAAGAACTGTTAGTCTCGGAGCGCCTTACCAAACTCTGAACTGCTTGAGCCCAAGAGTTGCATCATGTAGATGTTCAGTCTGTGTCTTTTGTATAAATATTAGCAGAACTTGTTCTGGTTGAGATTGAAGACATAGACTGCTCTAGTAATCTCTTGGCTATGGGATTAAGAGGTAACCCCCAGAGATCCTCTGGTCCAAAAATACTTTTGAGATTCCACTTTTTAGGTATTCTAGATATTCTGGTTTTAATTAGAGAGGAAGGCTGGCTAGCTGCCCAGTAAGGGTGTTACAGTGTGGTAGTTCTTCAGGTTCATCACAGGTCAGGACTTGATCTTCAGCCTTGCAGATCTGGAAGGTAGATTTTTTTTTCCCCATGGACACAGAGCTAATGAGGCTTTAGATATAAACTTACGTAGATTAAGCTCAGAAGAGTCTGATGGATACACTAGAATGGAACTTGGCTATTACTTTGCTCTTAGGAAAATTTAATTTCAGTGTCTGGAATATTTGTGTCTCTAGTCCAGGACATCCCTTTCTAGTATTATGATTCCTGGGAATCTGAATTCATAAGGCAGAGTGGAATCAGAACAAAGAATCTTTGGGGAATATGCTATCCAAGCATTGGGAAAGCTTATTCTTGCTCCCCCTCTCTGAAACCAGAACACTTCTGACTTCCAGATTCTGTGTCACTCTTCTCTAGACAGTGCTGAAATAAACACTGCGTTATTCTTGTTCTTAACTCCCCCTTTCCAGGCTCCAGGCTGATCATCCCCCCAGGCTGAGCTAACCCCCGCTTTTTTTTCCTTCAGTGGAGTTTATTAAATTTTAGCTACGTTAATGCCATTGATTGTTATGGGTACTTTCAGCTATGTTACCTTAAGTTATTAAATTATAGCCTCATGGATTGTTATGGTCATGTTTTTTTGAAAGAAAAGCATTCAAGACCCACTTTCAATTCATTTCCACCCTAGGAGACAATTATTACCTCTCACGTTTTTGTCCAACTAGGCAGATCTCCTCACTTCTTTGGACTCATTTCTGTATGAGTCCTTATTTATTCTCTTCCTCTCATCTGGAATGCCCTCCCTCACTTATCTTTTCTTTCTGTGTACTACTCATTCTTTAGGCCAATCTTAGATTCTACATTTGCCTTGATTTTTTTTTTTTCCTTTGGACTTTAACGCTCATTTTGTCATTTAATTGATTATACTGCCTTGTATAATTTAACCATGTTACCTGGGTGCGACTAACTCCTTTTCATCTTTTAAGTCAGCTTAAAGGTCAACTTCTCAGAAAGTCCTTCTTTAACTATCATATTTAAGGTAGTCCTTTCCCCACAGACAGTCTCTCTCTCTCTCTGTCTCTCTCTGTCAGCTACATGTTTATTTCCCTTATATGGAACTTACTATAGCTGCCATTATTTTGTTTGTGTGCTCTCCTATTGGCATATAGCTATGTAAGGGTAGAAACTGTATCTGTCATGTTCACTATTATATCCATTGTACATAGAACAGTAGTGGCTGTTACATAGTAGAGTGTTTAATAAATGTTTTTCGATTGAATTATTCCCTAAATAAATTGTTAAATACTTTAATATCAGGATCTTTATCCCTCTGTGGCCGATTTCTTTGCTATGTCCATACAGTAAACCCTTAAATTGGGAATAATAATTTTTCATGAAGGAGAAGAAAGGAAAAGGCCTAAAGCAAGTTGAAGCAGTTTTTCTGGGACCATATGCCAAGCCTTTTCTACTGTAGAGGTGGGAACAGTGGCAGTGAATGCTGGAGACACACCTTTGGTAAGCCTGCTCCAGGCTCAGCTGTTCCTCCCACAGGTGGGAACTTTTCAGGAGAACATTCCCTTGAACTTTAGCCACTTAGTCATCCCAATGCAGTCTTTTCATACCATGCAGTTTCTCTTTCTCCTTGTGTATAGGGTGTCTGAGGCCTGGAGGGTGCTAAAAGGCAGAACAGAAAAGTAGAAGAGTGAAGAAGTGAAAGACGGATGGTTGTCAAAAAAGTAACTTTTGCTGGGCTCAGTACTTTTACCGAGGTGAATCTTGGAATCCTAAAAGTTTAATAAAAATATCATATTTTTATGGCTTCACCTAAGCCATATGTGATAATAGGGAACTCAGCCCACTTATTTAGATTGTTAAGAAGAGACTCCACCAGATTTAGCGTAGTTTAATATTTCCTGGTAAATACATCCACACAATGGAATGTGTAACGGTGTAACTGTTAAAGAAGAGAGAGAATGGAAATGAACAGGTCTTCAGAATGCATTAAGTGAAAAAAAGCCAAGTGTTGATAGTGTATATGGTATTCTACTTCTTGAATTTAGAAACAAGAGAATATTAGAATATATATGTGTATTTACTTGTATAAAAACACTGGAAGGATACACAAGAAACTAATAAATGGTTTGCTTGTGGAAGCAAAGTAGGGGATAACAAAGTAGGTAGGGTTAGGGTAGGCATGAGGCTTCTTAGTGTATGCCTTGTTATACAGATTTAATTTTTGAACCATATGAATGTATTACCTATTCAAAACAGAATAAATTAAAAGAAATCTCTTTGTATGTATATTGTTAAGAATAATGCTTTCTTTCGTGAAATCATTAGATTCCAAATTCTGCTCATATTTATTGTTTTACTAAAATTCTGTTTCTTTTTGCAGTTTTTAAACAGCCATTAAAGATCAGACTCTATGAGTTGATATCTGCTAATCATGACCACTAAAGATTGATTTATAAGCCAGATTAGTTGTTTATTAATACAGATCAGAATACTTGTATGGGTTGATCAGCTCATTCTTTTCCATTAGGAAATTCTACCAGAAGAACCAGTGAAGATTAGAACTTTTGATTAATAAAGATTCAGACCAAAGGGAATTGGATTATCTTAATTATGTGCTTTGTGTATCTTTTTGCATAGTAGTGATATACTTGCCAGGCATTGTAATTAGTTTAGCTTTCCAGAGTACCTTCTCTGCTCCATGCAGAGTATACTAACAAATTCTTAAACTCTCTGATTACCATTTTCCTTCTCTTTGGAATCCATGAATGAGTTAGATTAGATGATGTCTGAGGTCTTGGCCAGGACTAAAATTCTAAGAATCTGATCAGTTTGACGGTTCTCGTTCTCATTATAATGAATACACTGACAGTCTTATATATAAATCAGTCCCTTGTAGTGTTGATTGGTGTGAATCAGTTCACTAATGGCTTTTTTTTTTGGATTATTTTATTGGGGTCATACTGGTTTATAACATTCACCTAATGGCTTTTGAAAACCTAACAAAATTTTTGTAACAGTTTTGGTAACTACAGAAATTCCTTTAACCATCTCATAGTTTCTGATTAAAGTCGAAATCACATTTAAGGTCATTGTCAAATACTTAAAAATAAACTGCTGAAGCCAAATTGTGTAGGGAATAATCTCAGAGGCCAATAACTAATCTTAATATCTGTTGTGTATACCTAACCTATTACAAGGCTAACCTTTGTACATCAGCATTTGTTTGAGCAAGAATTGCACTGTCATATTCACCTTTGAACTTTCCCTCAGCAATCAAAGTTGCCCTAATGTATTAGAGGCCTAAGTAAGGTTTTATTTTACTTCTTGACTTTCTAAATATTAGGTCATTATAATTTTTGTGGCTCTTCTCCAGTAAATATCAGTTACTGTAATTTTTTTCCCATATGTTTCATGGTAGTGCAGCAGAGAACAGGCTAAGTCATCCAATCGGAATGTTATTTTTTATCACTATTTTCATAATTCTTAACAAGTATGACTATAGGAAATCTTTCTATGTCTTTCTATGTCAGTTTTTATAAAGTGTGATGAATATGCAATGTGAGTTCTTTAAATTTTCTGTTTTCAATAGAACAGTTACTGTTTCCTTTTCTAGTACAATCATGTTTGAAATTAAGAAGATCTGTTGCATCGGTGCAGGCTATGTTGGAGGACCTACATGTAGTGTCATTGCTCACATGTGCCCTAAAATCAGGGTAACGGTTGTTGATGTCAATGAATCAAGAATCAATGCATGGAACTCTCCTACGCTTCCTATTTATGAGGTAAATCTTGTTAAACAACTCTTTGTTCTTATGCTCTTTGTTTTCTTACAATTTTTGTTAAATAACTTACCATTAATATAAAAATCTATGACTGCAGCTAATAAGAAATTAAGTGAAAAAATCTAGATACACATGTTGTGGACATTATAATTATAATTATTTCAAGTATGCCCAGGAAAATGACTGGAAAGGAGTATATTAGAATATTAATGATAGTTATATTAGTGCAGTGAGATTATGAGTAATTTTTTTCTCTTCTCTTTTTTCTAGTTTTGTCTGTTATTATGGTTACCATATTGTAGTAGTAAAATTGAAAAGTGGAATTCTGTAAAAATAAAATAAACTGTGGATGTTTATAACATTAATTCATAATTCATAATTAAGTCATGTCTATTTTTGGATTATTGTACTTATATCAAGTAAACCTTGGATAGATAAATGGTGTCTTCCATATTTAGTGTTTAGTATCATAAATTTGTTTAACTGGAATTTCAAAATTTCTGTGAATTTAGAGAATTTATAATTAGGAAAATATGCTTCTAACTATTTTATTAAGCTATATTGGTTCCATTTTTTAAAAATTTCACTGTAAAATGAGTTCATAATATTATGCTTTTGAATCGCAACAGAGAAGCATTTGGAAATTTGATGGTAGTATTTTCTCTCTAATATTAATATACTTTTTTTTTTTTCCCCAGAAAAGCTTTGTTATTTATAAGATGTTATCAACCATAGTCTTTCAGTGTGTTAGACCTTTGGAAGGGAAGTCTCAACACAGTTTTATCTGTAAGATAAATCTGCCTGCTGTTTATAGGTGTATGAATACAGAAATCCGTGAAAAAGCACCCATCAGGTAGTAGCCACTCAACATCATGGATTTACTCATATCTGATTCAGACTTAGAATAGAAAAAAATACCCTCTGCGTGTGTGGTAGCTTCTGTTTGTGCTTTACCCTTTCTTCTACCGGATGACCTGCCCATGATTGTTCTTTAAATACCTCAATGTTATAGCATTTCTTTCTCTAAGTATAACATTACTGCTATATTTGGTGTTGGGAAATATTTTAAAACATTTTTGAAAGATAACTTGATAAAGAGTTTTATAATTCTAATATCCATAAAAGGGCTGCAAGTCATCTGAAACCCTGTAAGCCGTATTTATATACAATTCTTCTGCAGTTAATTCTGCCAGTGGTGTACTCTAGTGATAAAAAACAAAGGCACCCAAAATTATTACTACTGACAATACCAAGTGTTGACAAGGATTTAGAGCAATTGGAATTTTATACACTGCTGCTCAGAATGTCAATTGGTACAGTCACTTTACAGAAGTTCAGCAGTATTTACTAAAGCTGAAAATATGTGTAGTCTGACCCAGCAATTCCACTCCTAGGAGTATATCCCACAGAAATGCATACACATGTGTACCAAATGACAGGTATTAACAGTGCTATTCCTAATAGCCCCGCAAATGGGAAACGACCTAAATGTTAACCAGCAATAGAATGGGTATAAAAATTATAGTATAATCCTGCAATAAAATACCATACTGCATTGAAAATCAATGAAACTACTCCTGCATACAAGCATATGATTAAATTCTCACAAAAGTAATGTGCTGTCAGACACAAAGTAGTACATACTGTATAATTCCATTGTATAAAGTTCAAATATAGGCAGACTAATCTCTGCTGATAGAATTCAGCATGATGGTAATTTGAGGGGTGGTGGTGACTAGGAGAGAGCACACTAGAGGCTCTGATTTACTGTTCTAATTCTTGAGATGGATAGTGGTTACATAAATGGGTTCACTTGTGTGAATATAAACTATAAACTATATATATAATATAATATAATATAATATAAACTATGAGCTATAAACTTTTCTATACTAAGGTGTATGCACTTTTCTGTATTTTTGTTTTACTTCACTAAAGATTTTACTAAAAAACAAAGGGTAGGGGCCGGCCCCGTGGCTTGGTGGTTAAGTGCACGCGCTCCGATGCTGGTGGCCCGGGTTCGGATCCCGGGCGCGCACCGAGGCACCACCTCTCCGTCCATCCTGAGGCCGAGTCCCACATACAGCAACTAGAAGGATGTGCAGCTGTGACATACAACTATCTATTGGGGCTTTGGGGGGAAAAAATAAATAAATAAAATCTTTAAAAAAAAAAACAAAGGGTATCCTGAATAGAAAAAAGTATAAACTACTTATAATATATTGAAGTTAGACATTTTTATTGGAGAAGACAAAAAATCAATTGACCAGGCATGTTTTCTCGCCAGATTCTTATTATTGATATTACTATTTGAAATCTGAAACTCTTCTTCCTAAGACTTCATGGCTTTAAATTTAAAATAGTGTGTTCTACATTCACATTGAATCCAGTTGGGATATATTTAGTTTGACTAAGAGAGTTAAGATCTAAAATGATTTCTTTTCTCTATCTTACTTGTTTTTTTCTCAATAACCTGCCTTTTATAAACGAAGAAACAAAAGTATTTCTTGTTGTTTCATACTTCCATTTCATAAATAAATTTTTTCTTTAAATCTCTTTAAATAGAATATAAAATATTTGAAAGTCTAGCTAGCATTGTGCCCATGAGAAGCAGTGTCTGAGTTCTAAGAACTCTGAAATCCCATAATTGTATTGGCTTTATTTAATGGTTATAACTATTTGGTCTTGAAAGTCTTATTTTTATCTCATTTTTAATATGTCTACTCCAGAAAATTAGATGATGATAATATAAGTAGCTATTTTAGTTCTGCGCTATTTAGTGTAGCCTACAAAGGAAATGGAATCTCCTTCCAAACCTGGCTTGGGAGGTTAAGAACAAGGCACTGCTACTTTAAAATTCTTCTTAGCAAGTAGAATAATTTTTCTCTTAACAAGTAAATGATTTTAGGCTTATAATTTTTGTGTATCTTTCTTAGACATCAGTTGTTAAAAGATGTCTGCTTAAGAAATTTACAAATCAGAAGAAAATAAAGGATTTCTGTAAGGTTGTGTTAAACAACAACAACAAAAAACTTGGAGAAATGAACTGTGTGACCCAATGATCCATTTTCAAAGATACGTTAGGCCTTTGTTCCATTTTTATTTCTTTATTTTGTGTTGTAAAATTAACTATTCCTGCACATTTCGTGGGTCATATTGGCGGTATGAAACGTTAGGTGAAATGTCAAACAGGCAGAACTATAAAAGAAGAAAAACGAATGGCAGGTTTAACGGGAGTTCTCACTCTGGTTTCTGAATTGCTTTATTGAGTAGCTTATACATATTGTGACTAGTTGTAATTTTATACTGACCTATCTTGGACAAGGCAAAGAAATATTTTTATTTCTAAAGAAACTTCAGATACATTTCAGTCAACTTCCCTCTGTAAATCTGTATCCTGTAATGCATTTTTAAATATACAACAAAATAGATATTTGTTTTCAAGGATATTATCAAAATCTATGGCATCGATTTTTCATTGCAAATACCACGTTTTCATGTCAGGAAGTCCCTATTGGTGACTAATGTTTAACTGATGGTTACTGATAGAGAAATGATAACTAGTATGTAATTATAATATTTAATGTGCTCTTTTGAGTACACAGCCTCCCTGAGAGTTGTTCCACCCTCACTCCATCCACTCTGAGACTGGCTAGACTAATTAGGGAAATATTTAGAAGGAAAAATGATGGGACTTGATTGTCGATTATGTAAGAAGGATGAAGGAGAAGAAGGAATCTAGAATGATATCCATGTTTCTGGTTGGATGAATGGGTGTGTGATTGTGCCATTAATTGAGATAAAAAATGCAGGATGTTGTGGAGGGTGGTGGGAAATGACATGGTGAATTCTTTTTGTTTGGGCCTATGTAGTTATAGAGGCTTTGGGACATCCAAATAGAGATGATCAGGAGGCTGTTGGATATATATAAAAAGTTTAGGCAAAGAATTCAGTGTTGGAGATGTAAAGTTAGGATTATGCAGGTAGTAGTTAAAATCAGACTAGATGAGCTCTCCCAAGAAGAGCCTATGGAGAGAACAGAGCCTGGGTCAAGGACAGAACCCTGGAAAACTGTAATGTTTGATGGTAGGTGAAGGAGGAAATGCCATAGAGAAGCAAGTTCAGATAAGGTGAACCAAAAACCAGAAGAGTTTTAGTAGTGCAAGCTCCATAAAGAGTATATGTCTTGATTAGGTGTGACTAACACAGTGACCAGCTCATAGCAAGTGCTCAGTAAATATTTGCTGAATGAATTAGTAAGCTGTCAATTATGCCAAATGCAGGAGAAATAAGGACTAAGACAAATTCATTAAATTTGGTACTATGGAGGCCATTGTAACTTTTGCAAGAACAATTACAAGTGTTAGGAGATGGAGGAAGTGAGAGAATGTAGAAAAAGAGTAAGACTCTTCTTTTAAGAAGTTTAATTTAGGGCCTGGCCCAGTGGTGTAGTTGTTAAGTTTGCACGCTCTGCTTCGGAGGCTTGGGGTTTGCAGGTTTGAATCCTGGGCACAGACCTACACACCGCTTGTCAAGCCATGTGTGGCAGCATCCCACATACAAAATAGAGGAAGATGGGCAAAGATGTTAGCTCAGGGCCAATCTTCCTCATAAAAAAAAAAGAAGTTTAATTTAGAAGAAAATAAAGGGGGCTGGCCCCGTGGCTTAGTGGTTAAGTGCGTGTGCTCTGCTACTGGCGGCCCGGGTTTGGATCCCGGGCGCGCACCGACGCATCGCTTCTCTGGCCATGCTGAGGCTGCGTCCCACATACAGCAACTAGAAGGATGTGCAACTCTGACATACAACTATCTACTGGGGCTTTGGGGGAAAAAAAGGAGGAGGATTGGCAATAGATGTTATCTCAGAGCCGGTCTTCCTCAGCAAAAAGAGGAGGATTAGCATGGATGTTAGCTCAGGGCTGATCTTCTTTACAAGAAAAAAAAAAAGAAGGAAATAAAGGGCACGGTCACTGGAGAGGGTCACAGGGTAAAGGCAGTGATTCTATTTATATTTTTTTCTGTGGCTGATAAAGGATCGAGCATGTTAATAAACTAAGGGAGACAAATCACATAGAGAAGGAAAGGTCAAAAGCATAGCAAGAAAGGAGCTAATTGTTGGAATAAAGTCTAGAAAGATAGCAAAAGGATAGGATCAAAAACACAAGGGAAGGGATTGGCCTTGAAAGCCTCTTCCTCGGAGACTGGAGGGAAGCAAACAAGGATTGATAAAAATACAGATAGTTTTGTTGGTGGGGACAAGAAATAAAGATGACTGACACATTGGTAATGTCAATTTTCTGGAGGTGGGAGGTAAGATATTCTGCAGAAGATAAAAGGGGTTGTGTTGGGCAAGGATTTGCGAATAGTGGGGATTCGGAGCAGTAATCTCAGAATAGTGAGGACAAGTAAAAAGATTATCAGGCCACATGGAAAACCCAGCTAAATATACTTAGAGTCCATGAGCTTATGTTTATTGTGGTTCTTTCTAATCTTAATAGGTTTATATTTTTATGGGTCAAAACTATATTAATAAAAAAGTAGTCATTTTTACTGCCTGATAAGGAAATAATAATGACTATCAGATAAAATATGCTAATAAGATACTTAAATTTTTATTCAGAAAATAGTATAGTATTGTTAATATTTAACAAAACATTTTGTTTTGTGTTACCATATTTATTGAATAGTCATTGCTTTTTTGTTAACTTTGTTCATTAAACAACTTAATAACTACATTTTAAAAAACAAAATGGATAATTTGCTTTGCTTTTTCTGGGTAAAATGAAAGATAATTTTACCCTGTGAAAGGATTCGAGTTCTTCCATAAAAAGTACCATATAGGGGCTGTCCTGGTGGCATAGTGGTTATGTTCACATGCTGCACTTTGGTGGCCTGGGGTTCGCAGATTTGAATCCTGGGTGCAGACCTACATGCTGCTTATCAAGCCATGCTGTGGTGGCGTCCCATATACAAAATAGAGGAAGATGGGCACGGATGTTAGCTCAGGGCCAATCTTCCTCACCAAAAAAAGAAAAAAAATACTTTATAAATTCTAAATACTAATTATGATAATTACATAATGAATCTGATAAGATGTAGAACCCATATTATTAACGACTTCTGCATCAGTTTTGGAGATCTACAAATATCCCATTGATTTTAACAGAATAATGTAGTTCATTTTGAGGTCTTATTAAGCCTTAGTATAAATTCTACATTGCTCCAATTTTGGGTTATTCTAATTTAAATATTAGGAGATTATTAGGAAATAGGACTGAATTAAATCTTCTCTGCAAAATCCCAACTCCGTAATCTTTTACCCTCATTTTCTAGAACCTACTCAAAATAACTAAGGAAATAGTTACTATGATTGGTGACACTATATTCATGGTTGTGGTGGTTCATATATTTTGCTGGTCGTTATACATTTTAGTCAAACTAATAGAAATTTGAATTTACATTTTAAAGTTCGTCTAATTGCTTATGTTTTTCTAAACACCCATAATATTGTGGATATCATTTGAACCTTCTCCCCTAAGAAGAGTAAGCTCAGTGGTTTAGATCTGTTTTCTTTTGCTTTGCTTTTTATTATAAGAAATTTCAACGTGTAATAACAGCAGAGAGAATAGTAAAATGAATCCCCATGTGCCCATCACCCTGTTTCAACAATTTATCAACACGGCCAGTCCCCACTCCTGACTACCACCATCGTGATTATTTATAATTTCATCCATAAACATTACATTATGTATCTCTAAAAGATAATAATTGTTTTTAAAACCTAAGCATGTCACCATTATCACTACTAAAAATTTTAACAATGATTTGTTAATATCAAAAATTCTTATACATGTCCTTCTCATAATTTATTTGAATCAGAATCCAAGTAAGATTCATATATTGCAATAGATTTGTATCATTTAAGTGTCTTTTAAGACCACAGTATTTTGATCTCTCTGTTTTTCTCTTCAGTTTGTTGAAAAAACCAGGTTGTTTATCCTGTAGAAATTTTCACAATCTGGATTTTGCTGATTGGACTGGTCTGATCAGATTTAGACCTGATTTTTTTGGGGGCGGGGGAAGGCAAGAATACTTGTTAAGTGGTGTTGTACAGCTCAATATTCTTAACATGACTGTCTCTCCTATTAAATTGTATGGGAAAAGTAACAAAATTTTCAATACAAACGTTTCTTACAATAGGATTTAGAAAAAATATCTATTTATGTATGTATAGAATAAATATTGACTGTTTCACAACCAGTTGTATGGGCTGAATTCTTGGGTGTAAAAACCTGCATTCATAATGATGGTGCAAAATCAAATGTTTGCTTGAAATCACAGAAGACCTTGAATTTTCTCATAATTGTGTTGATTCTTATGCAACAGTCAGGCACATGGCAAACAATGACACAGCATTAAAATGAGCTATTGCTTTAATTGTGGCAAGTTCAGTTTTGCTTCATTTACATTACTTACACCTATGACCTTTGATATATGATCTTTGATTTTTCTACAAAGATGTTATTTGAGAGCAAGTATAGACCTTTGAATTACAATATATAACCTTCCCCTTTAACAAATGTATTCTGTACTATTAGATTAGCTCATACGACTGCTTTTCTTTTTTTTTTTCAGCCAGGACTAAAAGAAGTGGTAGAATCCTGTCGAGGAAAAAATCTGTTTTTTTCTACCAATATTGATGATGCCATTAATGAAGCTGATCTTGTATTTATTTCTGTAAGTATTTTCCTTTGCTGTGTGAGTTTTAATGTATTCTTATTTACATAGAGGTTTCATTGTGTTTTAATAGTAAATCCATTGATATTAAATCATAGCATCGCTTAGTATAGAGTTGTCCAGTTGAATTTTGGTTGTCACCAGCTTCGTCCAACACTTCACCAAACCCTATAATCATCTGGTCAAATACATCCTTTCAGATCGTTGAACAAATAAATTCAGAGAAAGTTCTAGTCTGAGATCTAGAATTAGTAAGTGCTGGTAACATGTGAGCACATGTGGTGATAGGATATATATTTCATCATTTCTTGTTTCCACTGGTTGGTAGAGGTGAAGTAAAGAGAATCAGATAAAGTTTGCCTGCAAACTTACAGGCATCTCCAATCTAGATGAATTATGTTCCAAAAGTCATTTTAAATTAATTGTTTGGAACTTGGCATATGTTGGTCAGGTTATCAGGCTAGCCCATAGACACCTTCAGCTCATAGTATGACTACACTGTTTTATCTCTGTAATGAAAAAAAATAGAACAAATGCTTGGGAGTAAACTCTGGTAATCCAATATTTAAACCAAGGTAACTTATTTCCTGCTGTCCTGGTGACCATCTACTCAAATATCCTTGTGTGATGGTATAGTTATCACCAGTTGGTGGTTGAGCTAGGGTGTTATATGACTCAAAACCTTTAAGGCTTTAAGGAATAAAGGGAAAGCCAGTGGTATCAGCCTTGACTGGGTCCCATGAGATAGAGGAAAGAAATGCCATGGGGTCCATAGCGGGTAGATGCTGTTGAATTAATTATGCATATTCTTAATGACTGTAAGTTGTTGAATAAGGGATTGTTTTCTGACTGATGAGACAAAAGCAGTACTGTGAAGATACGTGAATTCCAGAAGAAAGTGGTAATGAAGCCAGTGGTAAAACTGAGTTATGAATTCAGTCTCTCTTGGCCTCCTTAATTACTTCAGAGAAATTGGTGCAGCTTCTACGACTCACCTACCCATCCTCTTCTTAAGCTTGCAGAAGGTTAGAGTAGAGGCATAGGAAATGAGAAAATATTTTGGAGTAGCTAGACACTTGGAGAAAATCAAGAAGTTACCTTAGTCCAACTTTTGGATAACGAGAGCCTAGAATGGGAATAGGGGAATTTTCTGTTGAAATGTATCTTGAAAGAATCTGTTCTCAGGCAGTAGAGTTCACCGTAGGGTGGTCTGGCACAGACAGCTGATTTTGTACTTGCCTCTCTGCAGATCTAGCCTGAGCTGCCCTGAATCTTGCCAAGCCATTACTTCGTATACCTGTTAGCGTAATTTATTCTGTATAACTTATACCTAGTTCCCATTATTCTCTGAATCAGGTTTTTTTTTTATTTGCTTGTTGTATACTTTCCATTATGGAAAATATCAAACTTATACAAGAGATGAAGACAATAATATAATGAACCTCTATTTACCCATTCTCCATTGTCAACAGTTATCATGGCTGATCTTGTTTCATTTACTATTTCTTTCCCTTTCCTCCCACCCAAGATTATTTTTAAGCAAATTCTAGATAGGAATAGTAGTTTTATACAAACCACTTTTCAACTGTTATCTTCAGAGCTTCTTTACCAGAGGAATCCATCTGATCATCTCCCATCTCAAGCATGTTTCACGTTATCCTGTCAGCCGTCTTTGCCCTTCTGTACTCCATTGTACCCTGACTTCCATGTCTAAGTCTTTTCTTAAGTTGTTCCGTGCATGTAAACAACTTTTTCCTCCTGATTTTCACACCTGAACTCAATCTTCAAGTTTTGATTTATTTTGGCTTGATTCCTTTATTTAGTTTCCCATTAGGTTATGAGTGTCAAGAGAAGAGAATTGGTGCTACTTGCTATTGGTTCAAAAATTATTCCTATATAGAATTTTAGACTTTTCAGAGTTTTTTGGCTTTTATCAGAGTGTTATAAAACTCATGTGTTATCCTCATTTTCCAGTGAGATCATTGAGGCAAATGCAGCCACACTTCCCCAAGGTTACATGATATAGCTAAGCCAAAACTAAATGCCTAGACTCTGGACTCATGATTTATTTTTCTTTCTATCTGATAGTGTGTGTCGTCATAGTATTCTGTATCCTGAAGATGCTAGATAATTTCTAGCTTTAATGAGCCAAGAAAGCATTTGTGAATGATACTGCAAACATTTTTTAAAAGCTATTGATATAGGTCTATAAAAAAGAGTAAAAAAGGAGTTTAGAGTTTAGTTTTAAAGACCATGATAATATATTACATGTAATAAAGAGAGGAAAGAAGAGAAAACTTACATTTCATTTCAGACTGTGAACTCCTATAGGATAAGAACTGTTTCACTCATCTTTATATCTCATTCATCTTTATATCCATATATATGGATATATCTGGATATATCCAAGAGCTTAGCTTGGAACCTGCCTGCCTTGGTATCTGACATATATATAGTAGCTTCTCAACAAAAATTTATTGAATGAGTTCTCCAGATGCTTCAAGCTGTTCCTTCTAGTGATCATATTTATAAAATGTGTTATTTCCATGGAACTAATAGAGGGTTAAATCAGGGCTACCGATAATAGTTAACTTCCCACTTGACTAGTGAATTGATGGTCCAGGCATATCTTGAAGTCACTCAATGAATCTCTCACAGATATTCTGTTCTTAATCTCATATACTTTCATCAGGTGAACACTCCAACAAAAACCTACGGAATGGGGAAAGGCCGTGCAGCGGATCTGAAATATATTGAAGCTTGTGCTAGACGCATTGTGCAAAACTCACATGGGTACAAAATTGTGACCGAGAAAAGCACAGTTCCAGTGCGGGCAGCAGAAAGTATTCGTCGAATATTTGATGCAAACACAAAACCCAACTTGAATTTACAGGTATAAAAAAAGGAAGGTTTAGAATCTGATTCTTATGTAAATATCAGTGCCTTAAAGTTGTCCATAACTAATTCTAGCTTAAAACTTTCCTTTGTGTTGGGATTCTAGGTACTGTCCAACCCTGAGTTCTTGGCAGAAGGAACGGCCATCAAGGACCTAAAGAACCCAGATAGAGTACTGATTGGAGGAGATGAAACCCCAGAGGGCCAGAAAGCTGTGCAGGCACTGTGTGCTGTATATGAACACTGGGTTCCCAGAGAAAAGATCCTTACCACTAATACTTGGTCTTCAGAACTTTCCAAACTGGTTGGTATATAGCATTCAACTCTCCATTAAATTTATAATTTTATAATTTTATTTATTTTTTCCCCCAAAGTCCTAGTAGATGGTTGTATGTCATAGTTGCACATCCTTCCAGTTGCTGTATGTGGGACGCGGCCTCAACATGGGCGGAGAAGTGGTACGTCAGTGCGCGCCCGGGATCCGAACCCGGGCCGCCAGCAGCGGAGCGTGCGCACTTAACCGCTAAGCCACCGGGCCGGCCCTACTCTCCATTAAATTTAAAGCCAAGGACTTATTTCTCTTAAACCTGATAAGCTCTATAGATACTTTCTTAATATTAATAAAAGGTATGCTTTTGAAGATAATTTCCTTGTACGTTATGAGATAATTTTCACAAGGGGGATCAAATATTATGGCATAAAATATTCTGGAAAATTCTAAAATTTTAATAAAGTGTAAGATAAAATGAAGGGTACGTTAAAATAGTAATTTTGGAAATCACTCTTTCCCTTCTTTTACCCTCTTGCTTAATCATCTTTCTTCTCTAATTTAAGGCATTTTCCCTTTCCCTTACCAGCTCTTCCATTGCCTCCTCAAATTAAGCCCATCAGCCACTTTTGTACCTCCCTCAGTAATTTGTATCAGCTCAATGAAATATAATCCAGATGTATAAAATTGCTATTTTAGCTCATCATACTTCTATTTCATTTTTTTTTTTAGGCAGCAAATGCTTTTCTTGCCCAGAGGATCAGCAGCATTAACTCTATAAGTGCCCTCTGTGAAGCAACAGGAGCTGATGTAGAAGAGGTGGCAACAGCCATTGGGATGGACCAGAGAATTGGAAATAAGTTTCTGAAAGCCAGTGTTGGTAAACTGAAATTTTTATGTACATAAAGTGGGTTCATTTAGCTAGATGTCTAACTTTAAGGAAGTCTTTTTTAACTTAATGCCTTTAAAATAATGATTCCATTATACATGTGGCCTTCAGCCTATCAGGGACTTACTGAGGCAATAATTAAACATATTGTTTAATAATTACTGACTGATTAGTATCATAAACATAGTTCAGTGTTTTAGGAGGAATAAATTAGTATTTAGTTAGAACATTTAGGAAGAATAAGTTTGGGAGACCAGATAGGAAATAATTCAAGTAACACCTTATTGAAGCAAGTAGTAAGAAATTCCCTGTTGTTTACTTTTCCTGCTAATATACTTTTGGAAATGTGGCCTTGGTGAAATATAGTTGATCCTCATTATTTGTGGATTCTGTGTTTGTGGATTAGCCTACTCACTAAAATTTATTTGTAACACCCAAATGGATACTCGTGGTCATTTGCAGACATGAACAGAGCAGCAAAAAATTTGAGTCCCCTGACACATACATTCCCAGCTGAAGCTGAATAAGACAATGCTCTTGCATTCTTGTTTTCAGCTCTCATTCTACAAACGTGCTTTTTTTGTGGTCTATTTAGTGCCGTATTTTTTGCCTTTTCATGCTTTTTGTTGGTGATTTCACTATTTAAAGTGGCCCCAGGCATATTGCTGAAGTGCTGTCTAGTGTTCTGAAGTGCCAGAAGGCTGTGATGTGCCTTATGGAGAAAATACATGTGCTTGGATAGGCTTCATTCATGCATGAGTTATAGTGCTCTTGGCTGTGAGTTCAATATTAATAAATCAACAATGTATAGTGTCTTTAAACAGAATAAGGTGTCTTTAAACAGAAACTTACATAAAACAAGATTATGTATCAATTGGTGGATGAAAATATGACCAGAAGCTCACAGGAACCTAACCCTGTCTTTCGCCTAGAAGCAATGCTTCAGTATTTGCTAATTCAGTGTTTATGGCAATTTTGTAGAACGTAACTACTAGGTATAACAAGAACTAACTGTATTTTTGGATATAAGTTAATAAGGTTGATGTAAAGGCAAATAGAATCTTTTATAGATTGGGCCATAGGCAGCCCTTCCTGTAATGGCCTTATGCCATTTCCCAATACTGGTTTGCCTGGCCTTTTCTATCTTTTTGATATTTTCTTCTAGCTACCATTTAATAAAAATAGCTACTACTGAAGGCATATTACACACCATGCTCTGAACCAGCACTTTATATATATCTCATTTATTAATCCTTTTAACCTGTTACAAAGGTGCTGCTATTTCTTTTATAGAGATGATTGAGAATCAGGGAAATTTTTGCAGCTTGCTCAAAGTCATACAACTAATGAGTGCTAGGTGTTTCTGACGCCAAAGCCCATACCAACCCTCACTGTATACTGCGTTGCACTAGAACAGGGGCGGGCAAACCATGGCCCTTGGCCAAATCTGGCCCACAGCTTGTTTTTGTAAAATAAAGTTTTATTGGAACATAGCTACGCTCTTTTGATTACATATTGTCTGTGACTGCTTTCGAGCTACAAAGGCAGAGTTGAATAGTTGTACTGGAGACTGTATAGCCCACAAAGACTAAAATATTTACTATCTGGCCCATAAAAGTTTGCCAGCCCTGTGCTAGAGTTAGAGATGTGGGGCAGTGATACCAGATGAATGAGAAAAAAAATAGAAAATATAGCCATAATAAAACTTTAGCTAGAAAATTATTTGGAAATTATTTATTGAGTTGATTAGTTGATTGCAAATTTCACACAATTTATAAACCCACTAATTTTTCAACATCTGAGTTTTATTATTAAAAATCTTAGCATAGGCCATCTGATTTAGTATGACAAAGAAATTTGTTCCGTGATTCAGTTGTGTGGTTCCTAAGTGAAAATATTGTCATTTTTTTCCTTCAGGTTTTGGTGGGAGCTGCTTTCAAAAAGATGTTCTGAATTTGGTTTATCTCTGTGAGGCTCTGAATTTGCCTGAAGTAGCTCGTTATTGGCAGCAGGTATTAATGTTTATAGTCGACAGCTTATGATTAACTTCTGATGAAAACATATCACCCTTTGTGAATTGTTTTTGATAGGATTTATTTATTCCAAGAACTCAGCTATTATTATATTCAATTTGTTTATTTTAGGTTTATTTATTGGGCTTCTGTGTTTTTAATTTCTTTTTTGCTAACCAACTGTGATAGAAGTTTCTGATAAACCAGTATTTCTTTTAATTTTATAGCTAAGTTTGCTCCCAGAGTAAAGCAAGAACTATTACTCTTAATTATAATTCTTCTCTATCTTGAAAGGCATAAAATCAAAATAAGGGAAGAACCTGTATTCTAATGCTTTCATGTGTTTTGCATGTGTTGATATTTGTCTTGTCCCTTTGAGATTCACAGACCTAGAATTAGAAACCTTTCCCAAAGTGGAAATAGAGTTAACATTTATTGAGTGCTTACTCTGTGCCAGGCATTCTTGAAGCATGTTGCATGTAGTATCTTAGTACTCATCGCTAATATTATCCCCCATTTATAGATGAGGGAGCTGAGGCTTAGAGACGTTAAGTAATTTGTCCAAGATACCAGCCAGTATACCTACCTTTCCCAAATATTTTTTCCCCAAGTGTATAGTTTTTTGGTAGTGGATGGAAATATAAGGAATTCAGATTTTTTAGGGAAATGTACACTTTTAAGTTTATTTCACTCAATCCAGCATGATGGCTTTATCATACTGTCCATCAGGGGGAAAATGCAGGTAAAGTCTTGATTTTCCAATACTTTGGGCTCATTTCCTAAGCTCTCAGGATTTGAGACAGCCCCTAGAAGCTTAGAGCCTTAAAAAAAATAACAGTCTCTTTCCTTATACTCATCTAGTCACCAATATGAAGTCTTGTTTATAAACTCTTAGAAGAGTAACAGATTAGGTGATCAGAGACTTTTATAACATTTAATTAAATACTTGGCCAAATGTTTGTGGTGTTATGGTTCATCCAGAGGCAGCTATAACTCTATACATTGTTTGACTGTTCTCTGTCCACTTTCTTCTACTCACACTCAATTTTGGTGAGGGGTAGCGGGTAAGCATATGAGGGAGTACTTTGAGATTTGATTGCTTACAGCCTGCTTCCACAGGCTTTGGAGAAGCTGGTTAAGGAGAACACTGTTTTCTCTGTGCCTTATTTAGGCTGGCCTCATAGCTGGACCTCAAATGGAGTTGAAACTTAGCTGTGTTCCCCATCTTTATATCCATCCCAGCCTGATGCATGGAAAGTTAAGCCAAATGGAAATTAAAATATTCAGGATGGCTTTAAGGAAAGGGGGGTGGGTAATTCTTTTGTTTTGATCTGTAGATACAAAAGAGGGTGGTTAATCTTTGCCTCCTGTTAATTTATAAGGTTGATATTCATACAGTAGCGCCCAGCATAAAACTCTGAGCAGTGTATGGCACAAGCTGCACCTCTTTTAACTGATCATTGCATAATTGTACATGTAATTTCAGGTTATAGATATGAATGACTACCAGAGAAGGAGGTTTGCTTCCCGGATTATAGACAGTCTGTTTAATACAGTGACTGATAAGAAGATAGCTATTTTGGGGTTTGCATTCAAAAAGGACACCGGCGATACGAGGTATCAGTTCTTTAAAATATTTCAACCCCTTTGAGAGTGTTAACGCCTCCTCTTATCTTGATTTTTGATTGGTGGATATATGTGTGAAACACATGTATGTATATAGTATAAAGAATAAAAATAAAGTGAACATCCATATCCTCACAAGAAATAGAATCTTACCTGTATGTTGAACCCCCTAGGTATTAGAAATATCTGCCGTTTAAAAGCTTAGCAGGGAGGAGAGAGTGGGGAAGAGAGAAATAGGTGAAGGGGATAAGAGGTACAGACTTCCAGTCATAAAACAAATAAGCCATGAAGATGTAGTGTACAGCATAGGCAGTATAGTCAACAATATTGTAATAACTTTATATGATGACAGGTGTTTACTAGTCTTATCAGGGTGATCATTTTGTACCTCAGGAAGAGGTAATGTAAATAAATGTCAAATCACTATGGTGTGCACTTGAAGCTAATACAATATTGTATTTCAACTGTACTTCAGTAAAAAAAAAAGCTCAGCAATACTGATTTTTTTTCCTTCAGAGAGTCTTCTAGTATCTATATTAGTAAATATTTGATGGATGAAGGCGCACACCTCCATATATATGATCCAAAAGTACCAAGGGAACAAATAGTTGTGGATCTTTCTCATCCAGGAGTTTCAGAGGATGACCAAGGTAAGGCTTTGAGTCTCATGAATTACTTTTGAGTATGGGCTCTAAAACTTGTGTGTTCTCTAGAAACCTTTGGTGATTCAGTTCTCATCATTTACATCATTGGTAGGCCCTCCTTTCAACCTCATTACTCTAAAATTAAACGCTTAGGCATCGTTTCGTCAACTCTGATTTGAAGCGATGAGCTGTGGATTAGTCAAATGATTTTTCCTACATATTCTAAAAAGCCTCAGAGGTTCCAAGGAGATGCTTCTGGGGCAAGGTTGGGGTTTCTCCAGGTCCCCCGTCATTACCCCCACTCACACTTCAACCAGACCATTCCATTTCTGTCAGACCCTCAACCCCTGCAATCCTGGTGTTAAAATGCGTAATTTCAATTAACTCCTTTCCTATTGCCAATTTTTTGTTGCTGTTGTTGTTACAGTGTCCCGACTTGTGACCATTTCCAAGGATCCATATGAAGCATGTGATGGTGCCCATGCTGTTGTTATTTGCACCGAGTGGGACATGTTTAAGGTGAGGTGACAGAAATGGCATTAAGGAAAATTTTAGAGGTGTTGTAGTACCAGTTGGGGTTGAGTATGTGTGCATGTACGTGTTCTAATTGTTCCTTTGGTTCTGTCTTTACAGGAATTGGATTATGAACGCATTCATAAAAAAATGCTGAAGCCAGCCTTCATCTTTGATGGACGACGTGTCCTGGATGGGCTCCACAATGAACTACAAACCATTGGCTTCCAGGTAATCATGATCCTGGACTGGTTTTGTTTTGTTTGTTTGGTCATTTGTATTTTAATGCTTTTGCGTTTTAGAATTTTAGTATTTTCTTATTTAGCAATAACATAACTGTGGGGTAACGTGACTATGGGTCAGCTGTCTGGGAAGTCTCTATGGGATTTTTGTAACTATTCTACTCTCTCCTTAAATTTGTGATCTAAAGGTTATTCAGTGTTGGTCTCCCTTATGTAGTATCCAGGAAGTCATCAGTTGCCTATCATATAGGGACAAAATGTGCCCTGCCTTACCTCGTATCATAAAGATCAAGTAAGAAAATATACAAATTTTTTTTTTATAATTTTATTTATTTATTTAGTTTTCCCCCAAAGCCCCAGTAGATAGTTGTATGTCATAGTTGCACATCCTTCTAGTTGCTGTATGTGGGACGCGGCCTCAGCATGGCCGGAGAAGTGGTGCGTCGGTGCGCGCCTGGGATCCGAACCCGGGCCGCCAGCAGCGGAGCGCGCGCACTTAACTGCTAAGCCACAGGGCCAGCCCACAAATTTTTTTTTTTTTAGTTTTTTTTTTCCTGGAGCCACCAAGGCTGCTCTGTTGAACTGTCTGCACCACACCAACTCCCTCAGAGGCTGGGTTGCTTATTCCCGTACGAATGTTTTGAAAACTGCAACATGCAATATAGTTGTCCCATGTTGGTATAGGATCCTATAGCTTCTGAGTGCTCAACACTGTCCTGTGCTGTGGGGGGTCTGACTGAAAAGTAGTACTGGCCCTCTTCTAATTCAAGGTTTGTCAATTAATTATGGAACGTTTAGAGAGCTGACAGGAACCTCTGCCTAGAACGGTACATTTATATGTTGCATCTATTTCAGTTCTACCAGGGGTCCCAAAGGTATTAATAAGAAGGAGCTCCTTTCCATTGCCTCAGAGCAGTGTGTTTGGGGATGGGAGACTCAGGGGGAGGTTGGTGAGGATAAAGAAATATGCCAGAAGATTGCCGTCAGCATAGTTCCAGAGCAGAGCAGAGAGGGGCAGTGTTTAGAGTTGGCTGTGTGTGTCTGCTCAGCACCAGCTGTCTTCGAGAGGTATCGATAAGGTCTCATCTCCTGTTCAAAATATATGATCTGGTTCTGTTAACCTGTCACCGACTTGTTGAAGATCCATCTTATTTAGAATTCAGTGCCCATTTCTCATTCATGAGAGATTCACTTGCAGCAAGAACCAAATGGCATCCTGTCTGTTAACGTTTCATCAAGGACCTTAGGGACTTTTCTGTTCCACCCCTCCTTAGTGGGTAAACTGCATGACTGTTTTTCCCAGTCATGACTTAAACTCAGCAATGTTATTTTTTAAAGATTATTTACAAGGCATAGACAAATTTTCTCTCATTCCTGTTTTACTTATCTGAGAGAGAAGGTATATAAAAAGATATATATTTAAAATGAGTTTGATTGGGCTGGCCCCGTGGCTTAGCGGTTAAGTGCACGTGCTCCGCTGCTGGCGACCCGGGTTTGGATCCCGGGCGCGCACCGACGCACCGCTTCTCCCGCCATGCTGAGGCCGCGTCCCACATACAGCAACTAGAAGGATGTGCAACTATGACATACAACTATCTACTGGGACTTTGGGGGGAAAATAAATAAATAAATAAAATTATAAAAAAAAAATAATAATAAAATGAGTTTGAGTTCTTAGAAGTTAACTTTTCCTAGTAAGGTTTAAAAAAACATTAAGAATGGAATCACTAAATAAAGAGAATTTTTAAGTCACTAAATAAGACAACTGATTAATACAAAGTAGAAGCCCTTTCTTTGTAGTACAAGTCAGAATTAAATACTAATTTTTAATTCAAAAGACATTTATGAAAATTCTATAGTATATTTGTCTCTGCTGTAGAGAGGAGATAAACATGACTATTAAAGAAGCAGTGTCTTTAAGGGTAAGACTGATGATTCTGGACATTTGGAAAAAAGTTTAAAATGTACTATGCAAAAAAAATTGGCTATCATTTGTTTATCGAAGGCTGACTTGTATGCCGAACACTGTGCTGGGCACTTAATCTAATTTAATCTTTACCACAACCCTTTGAGGTAGGTGGTAGTAATACTATTTATAAACAAGGAAGAAAGACCTAGAGAGTTTAGGTAGCATAGCAATTATCAGTCAGGATTACAACTGGGGCCTTTCAGACGCTGAAGCCTGAACTCCTAAAAACTATGCTATTACAGCCTATGCAAGGTTTTTAGAATAAGGGAAATAGACATGAGAATAGACTACGAGAGAGAATGTGAATTAATTGGAATTTAGTCTGTTACTTTCTTTCATATATGCTACTGAAAAGTAGTGGCATATGAATTCTGAGGGGTCTGGTGTTGGGAATGCCAGGAGTTGAGTGTCTAGATATGAATATGAAAAGTGGAGTGTAGATTGACCCTAAAACATAAAAAATAGGGAAGGATGGAGGAAGATTGGCATGGATGTTAGCTCAGGGCCAGTCTTCCTCAGCAAAAAGAGGAGGAGTGGCATGGATGTTAGCTCAGGGCTGATCTTCCTCACAAAAAAAAGAAAAAAAAATAGGGAAGGAACCAAAGATCTTTCATAGCAACCCAGACAACTTGAGAAACTTTTTCTACTTTTAAAAAGAAAAAATAATCTAGGTTTCCTTCCTTATTAAACTTCATTATAGAGTTTTTACTTTTATGTGTTATAATTGTTAATAGTTTTCTTTTTAAATCCTTTTCTTTCTCCCCCTAGATTGAAACAATTGGCAAAAAGGTGTCTTCAAAGAGAATTCCATATGCTCCTTCTGGTGAAATTCCAAAGTTTAGTCTTCAGGATCCACCTAACAAGAAACCCAAAGTATAGACATTGCCATTTTTATTTGTAATTTTTTTGGTACTTCAGGATAGCAAATATCTATCTGATATTAAATGGTAAATGAACCAAGTGTTTTTAAGGAAACAAAACTATTTTTTTAATAATCAAATTTATACTAGCTATATGGGAATTAGCATCTGTTAATTATGAATCTAGAATATTTTTTACATATTTTTATAATATTGTTACCTCAGTGATTGGATGAGTGGCAAATAATCATGTTGGTTTTAATGGTGTCAATTTTTGTAAAATAAAAATTAAACTTCAAATACTTTTTACTTTACAAAATGTCCATAAGCAGCACTTTAAGTAATCACATTGTAAAGGGAAAGGTACTCCTCAGTTTTTCTGATCATTGGTTTATTTACTTGTCATTAAATGTGTATTTTAAACCATGAAATTGCTGTGCTTAATACTGCACTAAACCTGTTAACCTTTCAGAAAGTGTTTGGAGACGTAGAGGTTTCTGGCTTTATGGATAAGGTGTTTTCCAAGCCATTTCTTGTGTTTCTGAACTTAGAAGGAAGATACAGCGGACAGAATGCGGACTTCTGTGCTTTTTTTTTTGTATATTCTTAGAACATTTTTTCTATGCTTCCATGTTAGAAGTAACCCTACAAGTAGGGTTTGGTTAAATAAGATTAAAAGGCATTTTATTTTAACATGAAGAGAAAAATCAGTGGTATGGTCTATTTCATTCCTCTTCACTTCTCATTTTGCCTCCTTGAGCATTATTTTTTTAGTCCAAGAGCCAAAAATATTTGTTAGCTTGACTTTGCATTTTTATTTCTATTACTCATTGCAATTTTTCCTCTTTTTCTTTAAATAAGAAAACTAATATAATCTCATGTATAAACTTAAAGACGTAGATTTTACAAATTATCTATAGCGTACTTCCTAAAATAAGAATTTTTGTATGTATTTCCATCTGCTTTTTTCTTAGGTCTCGTTGACTTATATTTGATTGTTTTCTCTTGTGTTTTATCATTATTGAAATATGTCAGATGTCCATTTGATGCTTATGCTGTGCTGAGAGGGTACAAACTGAGTTACACAGATACAGGCCTCATCCTTTAGGAATTTTACAGTTCAATAAGAATACAGAGACAAATATAAAGATGAGGACAGAGACGTCTGTACAGATATCAAAAACATAAATAAAATATTCTGCTTCAACAACTATGTGGGTGTATTTTTGTCATAGAGCAAGTAACTAATGAGTCATGACAGTCTGACATTAGACAGGAAAAAATCACTTCTTACTTTTTTGAGAAAAGGGCATTATTTCATTCAAATGATGCAAGAAAGGGAGGGAATTTAGCAAATAGACCAGATATTGGCAAACTGTAGACCATGAGCCAGATCTGGTCAGCCAATTGTGAGCTAAGAATGTTTTTTACATTTTTACGTGATTACGTTTTTTTTTTTTCCCTGAGGAAGAGTTGCCGTGAGCTAACAGCTGTTGCCAATCTTCCTCTTTTTTTTTTGGCTCGAGGAAGATTAGCCCTGAGCTAACATCTGTGCCAATCTTCCTCTATTTTGTATGTGGGTCGCTGCCACGGCATGGCTGATGAGTGGTGTAGGTCCGCACCTGGGATCCAAACCTGCGAACCCAGGCCGTTGAAGTGGAGCGTGCTGAACTTAACCACTATGCCACGGGGCTGGCCCCTGTGATTACATAGGCCTGAAAAGCCTAAAATATTGGCTATTAACAAAAAGTTTGCAGATGCTTGAAAGAGACAAAACTGGAGTGTTTGAACATAAGATGAGCCCTTCTCATAAGATTTTGAAGTGAGGATGAGCTTATTAATTAGCATTTATTTCACATTTCTGCTTGAAAATATGCTTGTGTTCTGCTTAATAATTTTATATTCTAGTAAAGGGATTATAACCCAAAGATGTCTTGCTAAAGCAGATAGAATTAGGTACTGGTTTTAAGTTGCAGTATGTTTTAATGCCTGTGAAGTAAGTAATTATATGTAAAATATAGTTACTGATTAAAAGGTAAGACAATTGGTAAGGGGAGGAACATGGGCAAAAGACAGCTCATAGAGCCATGTAAACTTGATGTTTATGATGGGGAGAAAAAAAACCCCAGTAACTGGGCAGGTAACTTAACAGAGCAATTTGAGACCTTTGTGTGAAAAGTTGCAAGAAGGCGGTTAGCCTTTTTTTCCCCTACTAAGAAAATTAAAGACCCTGTGCTTTTTTTTTAATTGATACAAGATTTTCTATTTTTTTTATTGAGGGCACATTGGTTTATAACATTATATAAATTTCAGGTGTACATCATTATATTTTGACTTGTATATAGACTGCTTCATGTTCACCACCAAAAGTCAAGTTACCATCTGTCCCCATACACATGTGCCCCTTTACCCCTTTCGCCCCACCTCCCACCCTGTACAAGGGTTCTGTTTTTATTAGCTACTATTTTTTTTAGTGGGGGCAATGAATATTGGCGAGATTATTAACTAATAATTAAAACAAAATAATACAGGGACATGGTAAAAAACATTCAAATAGATATAAAAGAGTACATAAAAAAGTAAAATCTCTCTCCCACAATGTGCTCTCCAGAAATCATCGGTTACTCCACTTAAGACTTCCAGTTTTAAATCCTGACTGCATTACTTACTAGCATGTGATATGTTGGCTAAGTTACCTGAAAGCTTTACTTTCCTCATCTGTAAAATAGAGATAATTCATCTCTAGCTCAAAAAGTTGTTATAGGGATTACATGAGATCAATGTTTACACAAAGATCTTATTGGTACAGTGGCTGGCAGGGGATCGGCACTCCTGTTAGACACCATAACGAGCAGGTCCCACAGAACCAAAGCCACGTGTAAGTTTAGCAATCACTAAAAATACAGTAATTAACACTGAGCATTATCGGGCAGGCACTACGCTAAGACCTTTAGGTGCATTTTCTCATCTATTCCTCACATAATTCCTTTGAGATAAGTGCTATCCCCATTTTCAGATGAAGGGCAGAAGGCTAAAAAGATTAAGTTACTTGCTCAAGATCACAACAGTTTGAATAAGAGCTTTTCTTACTTGAAGTTCAAAGCATCCTAATTTTAGAGGTCTTAATTATTATTAAGAGGAGTGAGTACCCTTGGTCTTTGGCAGAATAATGGAATAGCATCCCAAGGAAAAAACCAGAAGGTGGATATGGCAAAACAGCATGAGCTGCAGCTGAGAAAGATGTGAGTACATGCCCTTCACCCTCCTGGGGACTCCCAACTACTTACTAGAAAGGGGTCTGAGATTCTACAGGAGGCTGGGGATGGGGTAGAGGGGGTAGGGTTTGGCAAGACAAGCTAGCGAAATTAAGGTCTAGCTGTCCATGTAAGTTCATTTGTACTCACATTCAGATAACTCTATTTAAAATATTTCAAATTAGCTGTCTGTGTACCCACTATACGGCAGATGCTATGAGGTGCTAAGAAATGGAGGACATACATGAATGAGAGCAATCTTGTAAAAAAGCTAAGACACGTACAGAAATAGCTGACCAAATATGAAAATAGCCATAAATTATAAAAACAAAATGCTGTGTGGGCATCAAGTTTACTCCAGCTGAGGAGAACAGGAAGAATTCCAGGAGGCAGGGTGGCTTTTGAGGCGGGTCCTAATAGACAGACATGATCTTGGTAGGGAAGGGTGGGTCGAATAAGCATGTCAGTGGCAGAAGCAATGGCAGCAAAAAGATGGATGCAGGGGGGCCCTGCCCAGTGGCGGAGTGGTTCAAGTTCCGTGTGTTCAATTTCAGCGGCCCAGGTTCGCAGGTTTGAATGCCGGGCGTGGACGTCCTCTGCTCACCAGCCATGCTGTGGTGGGGTCCCACATACAAAATAGAGGAAGATGGGCATAGATGTCAGCTCAGGGTTAATCTTCCTCAAGCACACACACAAAAAAAAAAAAAAAGAGGAGGATTGGCAACAGGTGTTAGCTCAGGGCAAATCTTCCTCAGCAAAAAAAAAGAAGATTGATACAGGAACATTTAGACTGCTTTTAGGGAAAGCAACTTGTCTTGTCTAGAGTTGAAGGCAGCAGGAAGAGGAATAGCTGGAGAAGACTGGAAGGCTAGACTAAGGACAGATTGTAGAAAGCCTTAACTCCAGGCTGAGTTTGGGCTTCATTTAGTTGTCAAAATGGCAACACTGATGGTTACACAACATTGTGAATGTACTTAATGCCACTGAATTATATACTTTAGAATGGTTAAAATGGTAAATGGAAACATTGAAGGTTTCTTTTCTTAAATGTTGTCACTTTCTTAAAAAAAAGATATTAACTTCATTAGTCACACTAAAGAGACTTATCCTAGCTTTCCAGAGCTTGCAGCCTCAAACTAGATGTCACCATCTAGTTTATTCATATACTGGCACTGTGTTCAAGTTTTAGGCCAAAATCCAAGAAGAAATATATCATAGTGCCAGCCTTGCAAAATAATACTTATAAAGGACCTTTAAACTTCAGACGATAAGTTGGATTCAGTGACCTCTTGCTCCCTTCCTCCCTTCCTTTTTCCCGAACACAGACAGATAAAAGAGACTACTCATTATAGATCTGTATTTTACAATATACCACTAGTAACATGGGATTATTTTAGGTGAATATACATTTTTCTTAATTTTAAATTAGGTATTTATTTTATAGGCATTAGAATAAGCAACACTTACTAATATAATATTAGTTAGTATAAAAACTTAGCTGCTCTAACAGAGACCAAAAATTATATAGCATCAAACAGAACAGAAATGTATTTCTCTCTCACATAACAGTTCAGGTAGGTAGTCAAGGGCTGGTGGAGCACTTCCACAGTCATCAGAAGCCCAGGCTTCTTCACCTGGTTATTCTGCTGTCCTTGACACAAGTCTATCTCATGGTCCAAGATGGCTGCTCCAGCTTCAAAGTCATGTTTTCACTCGAGCCATCAGGGAAGGGGGAAAAGAAGGGAAAGGCACAACCCACCCTTTAAAAGCACATTCAGAAGTAGCACAAATCATTTCTGCTCACATACTGTTGGTCCAAACTTAGTCACATATCCATAACCAGCTGCAAAGG